GGGTCACCGGGCTGGGTGGCCCGTTTCGAGCCCTGGAAGGCAGGTGGAAAAATAGCTTATAACTTTCGAACGAAAAGTCATAGCGACCTGCGATTTTTCAACAATCGATAGAAGATTAGAGGAGACACATTTTTATATAAAAACCAAGGTTTAAATAATCAGTGATTGTGGAATCACTGAAAGAGTAGGCTCGTTATTTGGTGAAATTTCAGCAGAACAAGCTGAAACTTTCAGCATATATAGCTTCACTGTAGTCCAATCTTTCCTAAAAATATCCTCGATAAATCTTATAATAACGAGAAATGGTGAGCCAATTATCATCTGGTCATACATAAGGCTTTCATTGACTCAATATATTAGGAAATGGCCTCAAGTTTTGGCTGAATAAATACCATAATCTAGACTTCATATCTATGCAATAGCATCGTACTTTGGTCGTAGAAATGTACGGAAATAGCCAAAATTCGATGAAGAAATGATTTACATACAGTAAGTATTTGAAAACAAATCTTCCTAAATTTTTCAAGAGAAATGCAGAACTTAGTAATATTTTCACCGTCTCTTCTCGTTCATATAATCAAATTATGATATAATTGCACAGATATGAAGTCTAGATTATGGTATTTATTCAGCCAAAACTTGAGGCCATTTCCTAATATATTGAGTCAATGAAAGCCTTATGTAAGACCAGATGATGATTGGCTTACCATTTCTCGTTATTATAAGATTTATCGAGGATATTTTTAGGAAAGATTGGACTACAGTGGAGCTATATATGCTGAAAGTTTCAGCTTGTTCTAGTGAAATTTCATTAAATAACGAGCCTACTCTTTCAGTGATTCCACAATCACTGATTATTTAAACCTTGATTTTTATATAAAAGTGCGTCTCATCTAATCTTCTATCGATTGCTGAAAATCGCGGGTCGCTATGACTTTTCGTTCGAAAGTTATAAGCTACTTTTCCACCTGCCTTCTTTTAAAATTTCGATAGTAGTAAATTTAAAACAACTAATCTAGTACACCAGTTGGAAAAGTGATATAAAAAACGATTATATTCTTGTCTAAATTTTGCAATTATTGTCTTGTCTCTTTTTATATCACTAGGAACGACTGATTAAGAAAGAAAAGAAGGGGAAAATATAATTTTTTTTTTTTTTTTATGTTAAGTCATTCGTCGTAAATGGGACCTAAGGCAAGGAACATGAAAATTTAAGCATGTACGAAAAAAAATGAAGGCACGGTGTGTGGATGTAGAAGGAAAAGAAAAAAAGACTAGAATCTAAATTCTTTAGATTGTTTTTGCGTAAATGCAGAAAAATGCTCTGGTCTACTGAGCCACGTTACACGACGTTTCTGTCGGTAGAAAATTGAAATAGAAGAATGATAATAGACGAAGTCAAAATAGACATTTCGGAAACAGTGATTTAAGGCTTCATCAAAAAAAAAGTCATTTTTCGTAAAAATAAACGAAAAAAAGTCCCCCCCCCCCCCCCCCACTCAAAAATTGATCTCAGCCCAAGTACGTTCAAATGGGCTGAAATTTGGAGCATATGTTGGAGCTGAAGTGGGGAGGCTGTGGTAAAATTTTCAGCTCGATACCCTGATGTTTGACAGAGATATGAACCAAACAAGGGTCAAAAATAGCTCATTTTCTGGCAAGGATTTCTCGGTCCAGACTCGATTAAAATATTTAAAATTTTTTTTTGTTTGAAAGAGCATCTCAGGATGCAGGGCACCACAGAGTCCTTTTTTTTAAGTCTTACTTTTTTCGCGGAGAAAGGGGCTCGCAAGTTCAATGACTCAAAAAAGGCGCCAAAAATGGGTGTCCAGTCACATAAGTGTCTGTATATATAATAAAAAACAAAGCTTAATTAAAAAAAGGACTCTGTAGTGCCCTGCATCTCGACGCGCTCTTTCAAACAAAAAAAAAATTTAAATATATTGACAGAGCCTGGACCGAGAATTCCTTGCCAGAAGATCAAAAAATCATAAACCGAGAAAAAACGAAAAACATTTTTTGATTTTTCAAAAAACAGCTCGTTTTTCGAATAGGGGTTGACGGAAATCTTGAAAATTTTTCGGGAAAAATGGAGCAACAAGAAAAACAAATTATCGTTTATGAAAGAGCAGATGACGGGCTATCTTCCCATGCATTTATCTCAATTTCGAAATTTTTGACGAAAATTGACTTTTTTGAGTGGGGGGCCTTAAGATGAATGCGGGACAAGATAGCTCGTGATCTGACCCATTATAAAAGACAAAAATGTTTATTTAGCACTTCATTTCTTCCAAAACTTTTTGAAGGTTTCCATCATTCCATATTTGAAAAATACGCCATTGTTGAAAAAACCCAAAAATCTGTTTCGTTTTTCCCAGTTTATGATATAATTTTTTTTAATAATATAAAAAAACATTTCTAAAGAAAAACCGCCATTTTTTATGAGTTTTTTGCGTCATTGAACTTGTGATTCCTTTTTTCCGCTTAAAAAGTAAGAGTTTGAAAAACAAGAACTCTGTGCTGCCCTGCATCCTGATATGCTCTTTCAAAGAAAAAAAAATTTAAATACATCACACGGACCTGGATTGAAACACTCGAGTTGTTAAATGAGCTATTTTTGACCCTTGTTTAGCCAGTATCCTCCTCAAACATCATGATATCGGGCTCAGCATTTTACCGTAGCTTTTCCACAACAGCTCCAATGTATTCTGAAAAGTTCATGTCATTTGACTGTTCCTGGGCTGAGTTAGACTTTTGAGGGGCCTTAAATGATTTGAATGAGTTTCATTTTTCTCGAAAAATTCGATCAGGGTTCGCCTCAGGAATGCACAAAACAATGAAGTCCTCGAAAACCAGATTTGGACTATGAAAGACAACTCCTCGTCCACTTTGATCTCAATAAATGATTAGTGAGCAGATAACTAGATGATAAATACCGTGATATAAAAGAGTTCATTGTTTTGCCCATTTCTGAGACGAAATTCGATCAAATTTTTCGAGAAAACTGTGACGAAGCAATTCCTTCGGCTACAATAGACGAGGTGATTCAAGTTGTTCACTCTCGTAAAAAGAAAAAACATCTGTGATTCAAATAGGCTTTCAAGTTTTATGTTCTAGTCTCTACCTTCGAGTTATTAGTCTTTGCTTTCGAAGATCTTTAAACATTCATTCGAAATAGGTGCCCTTCCAATCAAATGGAAAGACCCTCGAGTTCTGCTATTAGCCAAAAAGCAATCGATCTGCGAGCTTTCAGCGACACGATTGATATCATTATTGGATGTCTTCTCGAAAGTCAACGAAAAGTTGTTCAGGAAATGCTTTTTAGATGTCTTGAAATGGCGCGGTTTGCTGCTAGATACACAATCTCGCTTTCGAGAGAAATTTCGACTTCAAATGAGAGTTCTTCTGTTTGTAGAAGAAATCTCCTCATTGATGTCAAACAGCAGACTCGTTAGTACTATTATTGTTGGCTTCAAGAGCGCTTTCGATGCCTTATGGCATCGAAGTTGCATCGGTAAGCTCAAGCACTTGTGCATTCCAAAAAGGTATTTTGATGTGGATCAATGAGTGGCTAAAAGGACGGCATGCATTTGTTGGAATAAAAGAAAGTCACTCAAGATGGTTCATGGTCATGAGAGGTGGTAGTTCTCTACTTCATTCTTCTTTGTTGATGATCTCGTGGCAGTAATCACTGGCTGTATTGATGTGAAATATGCTAAGCAATGTATTGGTCTAGAGAGGAGAGCGAAATTATTTTTAGACAATTTGGAATGTTATGTCCTGTTGAATGTACAGTCAAGAAACTGGTCCAAAACCGAGACTTTATGGCTCATGCACGCTTGTAGCGTGTATGAGAATTGGTAGTTTACGACCAACTGCAAAGTACATAAAGATACGAAGAAAGACTTAGAAGGAAAAATATTCGGTGAAATCATAGTTAATTGGGCGAAATATTTCAAGTACTTAAGCTGCGTGATCACAGCCAAGCTTATTTTTGGAAGTATGATTAATGAAACGATGATAACTAAAAATCACACAGAGAGTCGAGATGATAAACTCTTTTCGATTGTTTGGTTTCGCTTTTATTCGGTTACGAAAAGCATTGTTTATGTCACACATTCTACCATTTCTCACATGGATTTTCCTTCTCTTTCCATTACTCACTCAGAGGCAACAACAGCAACTGCATCATTTCTATTACATTTGCTTGCAAAAAATTTTTGCCTATATATTCAACGAGATTTCACTAGAAGATAGATACCAAAGCTACTGGAATAAATATTTTGCAGTCTTGTTGAACACAGTCAATGGACAGGGGTCGTCGATAAAGCTAATCTTAGCGTTTTTCGAAAAACTAGACTGCAGCATGAGAATCGCATAAAAGGTCTACACATCTCTGAGAGAATAACGTTTTTCTATAGCAGTCATATTCTGTTTGAATCAATACCAAATTTTGAGATCGATGAGATTATGACTCATGCTGACTTTTCTGAGACATTCTAAAGGGTTTGGAGTATGCACATAGCACTTAAACGATAATGTAACGAAGATAAAAAATGAAATAGAATCCTTACAAGTCCTATTCTTGTGTTAGTTTAGGTCGTCATTTTTGCATTTGTGTTAAATTTATTGTAAAGAAATTCTTCTTTTCTGAGAGCAATAGAATTTCTTTGTGTACTAAATGTTCTTATCTTTCTTTTTATTCCTTTTTCTGTAATTTATGTCTTTCTTATACGATGTACTGTCAGGATCAACAGGTCGCCTCTGTTGAGCAAATAATGGCAAAGTGATAGTGAGATTTAAAAAAATCACGTTAGAACACAGCTGTACCTCAGTTGATAGAAATTTGTCTGATTCAACTATTCGAAAAATCATAATAGGCTTCTTCTTATTCGGTCGTATAAACATCTCAATAAACTATAGTTTATATTTTGTAGAACAAAGCGAACACATGCAAAATGTGAGTAGACAAATCTACTTTTGCAAGAGTCTTTCGAATCTTAATAGCCGCCTTGATCTTTAAAAATGCGTTCGATGTCTGCATTGTGCGGATTCCATTGTGGTAACCAATGAGGTTTATTTTTTTCTAACCATGTCCAAGTGAAATCTGATATCAATGCATGACCATATTGATTGATGTGAAAGCCATCGACACTTTCAACTAATTGCCATGGTTCTCCACCTTGTGCTATCCATGCTGCGAAAACGTCAGCCACAGAAACGTCGAAATAATCAAGATCAAAATTCTTGGGTGAATATTCTAATGTCACATTACGTATTGCTTCGGAGAGATCGACTGCTCGTTGAGAAGTAAATGCACGTAGTGTATCGTTTGTTGTTAGCCATCCATTGCATGGAGATACTTGCAGACAAGATAAATATGTATAAAATTGTGCATAGGTTACCGGTGTACCAACACGACCCAGTGGATGAATACGATTGTGTAATAATTCATATAAGAGACTACCATTGGCTAGACCGGTTGTCAACAAGTGACTACCTTTCGGTAAAATCGTATCAAGATAAGTAAGAATGGTCAATACATTGGTACGCATCTCTTCTACAGTAGTCATATGATCAATTGTATTCGGATAGCCATTACAGACATCATTGCCGACTAAAGCATAGAAAACGAGAAGAGGAACATCATTTTCTGGATCACGTGTTAGTGTCTTTGAAATATTGATCATTGATAAACTGCGTGCTCCGTTCACTGCAATATTTTGATAGTCTCGGTGGTTACAATGATCACGTTCAAAAAAACGAGCATATGTTGAACGAGTTGGACATATAATACGAGGAGAAATTTCGAAATAAGACTATCGAATTGTTTTTTTTTGCTCACCTGCAATGTTCGGCCAAGAGATATTGAGATAACCTGTTGAACCAGATAATTGTGGCCAATCGAGTTCATTCTCAATAATAAACAGCATATGTTCAAATACAGATGATGATGCTTGACTGGCATCAAGCCATTGTTCGGGAATATGAAAATGAGCAGAAACAGAGTCACCTAATATGGCAACACCTATTTGTTGTGTATCATTACATAATTCATCTTCCCATGGTCGATTTGTTGATGAATCCATGCCAAAGATTCCATTACAATTATGGTCAATAACAAAATCACCTTTTACAGAACGTGCACCTGGTCGAATTTTTGATGATAAATCATTACAATCTTTACCACGCCATGAACTACCACGAAATGTTGATTCCGTACCGAATCGATCACCATCAATATCGACAAGAGGTACATGATTCTGAAAGACATGTTCAAGAATTTTACAGATTTCATCAATACCTGGAATAGTACAGATTTTCGATGAGAGTAAAGGAAGAAGTGATGGATGGTTTTGACGAAGATTCAATCCTCTTTGTTCGAGAGAGATAGATGATGGTGACGATGACTTGGGCTGATACAATCGACATTCTGGTTGGCCAGGATCAGTTCGGCAAATTTTCAATGAATGACAAATGACATCGGATGTCTCTTTCTTCATGAAACCATCAATAACGATCGGACCTAGGATTCAATTATCTTTGTTTTCTTCGATTGAATTAAATAGTTTAACTTACCCAAATATTCGACAGCCGTTTTACAATATATTCTAAAGTCATTTGGTAAAAAATTGCAGAATCGTTCGAGTGATGCCACAATACTTTCATTGTAAACAATAGATACTCTCTCAATTATACCCAAAACCATCGTACATGCTGCGCATTCAGCGCCGCCATTGACACCTTTCGTCAAATGACCATCGATCTCTGGTACAAGCACCACGAGCAATAATACGCATATCAAAGCAATACCTATCTTCAACATTTCTACAAGTATTCTCTTTAGTGTGTGTGTATGTGAATATGACACATATGTTATAGAATAACCAAAGAATGGGAATGATAACAAGTGTTTTATTTTAAATGAAATATTTCAAAGATAAGGAATGTGTGACACGTGGAAAATTTTTCACTTCATACTCTGGTGAAAAAATTGAAAAAAATAAGATGGCCGTTTATTTCTGCCAGGGGAATATACATCTGTACTCAAAAAAAAAACTTGCATATGTCGTTATACAAATATTTTCTTTCATATGTATCCTTTTCACATATTTCGTGTAGGGTTTGATAGCCTACGGCGTGTACTATTGAACACCATAATTTGATATTTTATTCGATCACTTTTAGAAAAAATAAGAGATGAACATCTTTCTTCTATGTCCAACGCAGAAAAGTATATAGCATATGAATCTCAATAATTTTCAATTTTTCAGCTAAAAGTATTTCGAGCTCAGTAATATTTTGGAGTTCTTTCGTCCAACAAGAAATAGCACTATTAATGAAAGATTCAAATGATGACTCATAGGTGAAAGTTGTAAATGTAAAATCATCATTTTCGGGCGTTTAATCCATCGTACACGCACTCTTTGTCATGAAACTTTAACATGTGGGTAGGTTGTGGTAAACTTTTTTTTATGATGTGATTCATGAAGTTAATGACTTATTGTTAACGTAAAAGTTCATCTTTGACACGTTCTCTCTAAATTTTCTTTTACTTCATTCATATAAAATGAAAGAAATCGTACTTCCGTATGGTAGATGTGTAGTATGTCTCTCAAGGACTTCTCGCGTAGAAAAAAGTGAACTTAACTGGTTCTGATCACTAGAAAAAAAGTTTTGAAAAATTATTAATTTTGTGCAATTTTTTTTGAATACAGCTTGATGTACATTTACATGCGGGATATGGCTCAGAAATAGAGAAGTAAGTTCGAGCTCATCACAGTAATTCTTCATGTATATGTTGGGTTTTGGTTTCGCACAAGTCTAATTGCTCCTTTAACAAGTTGATTTGATGTTTATTTCCAGCATCTCGTTCAAGTATGCCCACTTTGAAGGATTCGTGAAAGGCACCCATTATCTCTTTCTCATCTTGCATCTTCGTGAGAAGTGTCTGCATATCAAAAGGATTTTGTATATGAGGCTGTTTGATAATGGCTGCTGAACTAGAAGTGCTGGCAAGTTATATACGAATGAGCTGCCAGGTTGTTGCAGAAAATGTCTCGAGAGAAGAGTACGAGTAAGAGTAGCATGATAATCATTGACGACAAGACATTTTGAGTCGTTCGAACGATGAACTTTACCATAATGGATACATTTAAGTACTCCTGAACAAGCATGATTCTTGAGCTCTGCGCACTTCTCGCCGCAGGCTTTGCATGTCACTTGATCCGGTTAGGAGTAGTTCTTTTGAAAATGGTCAAAACCTATACATCGCGGACATATTAGAATATTTGCCAGCGCCAGGTATTCAACCACTGGATATTTCATGTTAGGACTATCTATGAATTTGTTTTCGAAAATTTCATTACGTTTTTTGACTGATTTCAAGTTGTGAAGTGTTCGATTTCTTAGTCAGATTACTCTGAAAATGCTCGGATATTTGGCTTATACATTGTTGACACACTCCTTCCATTCGCAATTAAGGGAATATTTGGAATTACTGCTGAGAGTTGTGGTGGAATCGATAGTTTCTCCAACAACAAGCCTTTTCCTATCAGTTGGGAAACCCAGTGTGTATCCTCGAACAGAAATTCGAATGACTGCGTCGTTTCGACAAAGATGACTATATCGCATTCTCCTTGCTTACAGTTAACTTGAGAGCTATGATAACCGATATGGTGAAAAATGGCAGAAAAGGAAAAATACAGAAAAGAAAAACAGCAAAGAGAAAAAGAACGACAAATAAAATATCGAAAGACAAAATATTAAGAGAATAGAAAATCATTCACACAAACATCGTGACCAATGATAAAAACTTGATTGAGGCTGTGGATGTAGGTATGGGTGTGGAACTTTGCTCATCTTGTCTTAATTCACACCCATATACATACGCACAACTACGCCCTATATCCACCCCTACTCGCACTCACACACCCACATCCACCCGCATCCAATCCACACTCCTATCGGTAAAAATGGTTTGATAGTATGTGGGTGTGACTGGTGATGGGTGAATGTGTGTAGTATGAGCGGCTCTAGGAAGTGGGGGTGGCGTGAACAGAACATGTTTCTGACTCTCCAATGGTGCTAAAGGGCAAAATTTCAAGATGTTCAAAATAGTTTTGACAGTTTGTTTTGATACACATTTGAAACCGTTTTTTATTTACAACACACGTGAGTACGAATAGCGAGATACTTTGTCGTTTTTCTTTCTTTTCAGACGTTATACAATTAATAGCTAATCGTGGTTGAGAAATTACAGGCTGATAGAGACTTTCATACACTTTTAGATTATGTAGTTAGTTTTGTAATAACTCGTTTCTATATTATAAATAAATTTTAAAAGATGGATAAAAAAAAGAAACAAAATGCATTTTCAAGGAATCTGGCGATTGGAGTGTTTTTGTTGTGCGTGAATTTTTTTTTAGCGAACGAAGTGCAATTTAAAATGCATATGTATAGAGTTGTTGAGAATTCCACGGGCTATTCAAAAATAAAATTAATTTTCTCAAAAATTTAGTTTTTAGTAATGATATGTTAAAAATACCAAGTCTAACTATTTATTTCCAAAAGGATATATTTTTTATATTGAAAAGTTACTGGTATTAGTTTATTCTATTTTCCTGGGGCTGTTATTAGTATTGAGATCGTTCATTTTCTGCTATATACTGAATATGTAATGAATTAGTCATAATAGTCAACAGTATTTTCAGTATAAATTCACATATTTATAATGATTACACAAGTCTGAACTAAGATCATCGTCGCATGTGCACAAAGAGAAGTCCGTTGAACTTGGATTCATAGTATTTTTTTCACAGAAAGTAGAAAATCGTTTCTTTTCGTCAGAAAAACGAAGAATAGACGTAAATACTACTTCGATCAGACAGTTCATGGTAAAAAGAAAAAGAACGATACGAGCGAATTTGTGGTTAATGCCAAATAGATAAATATGTCTATAGAGTAGAGCTATTCTGTCCAATATATACGTACCGAGGTACTTTTAGAAAAGGGATGTAAGGCACTGTGCCCAGTGTTTCAATTATTTCAGTAGTTTGAAAGTGCCTATTTAGATAATACAGATGATCGCTCGAAAGATTAACATTATCAAATCCAAAGAAAACCATCCAAAATATACGGCGAAACCAGGAATGCGATTTGAATCCATGTTCAGGATATTTTCTTGAAACATAAAAATCAGCAACTCCAATGTGACCATCAACTTTAAGAATTTGTTTTGCATTTTCAATTGCTAAAAACCAATCGGGAATCATAGTTAAAGAGTAAGAAAAAGTAACTAGATCAATATTCTGTTCTTTAGGCTACCAACTAGTTGCATCTGCTTCTATTATTTCAACGTTTGTCCATCCGTTTTCTTCGGTTCGCTTTACTGCAATTTGTAACAAAGATGGACTCAAGTCTACTAGATAAACTTTTTTGTAATATTTTAATCTATCAGGTTTAGCCATATATTCAATGTTAAAACCTGTACCACCGCCCATGTCAACCCAAATTCCATCACGTGGTAATTTATCTAATAATATTTCTCTACAAGCAAGTAATTTTTTTCTATATGAATCATAATTTTTAGCTTGACCAGCATAAAAACTTTCTAATCTTTCTTTATGTGTAATGCCGCGTATAGGCGATAATATAATATGATATATCGTTTGAATCTCGTGAAATAACCAAATAATAACACTAAATAGTCCCATGGTCTTCAAACAATCGTATTATTAATTCGAGCAATATAGTATGTTACCTAACCAAGAAAAATTAGTATGTTCATGGAATCAATTTCTTTCAACTTTCATCTGAAACGTTTATAGATAAATAAGTGAAGGCTAAAAAGAATGTCTGTCCTATTGTTTATCTATCAAAAAAAGAAATATAAATGATCACCAACATGTATAAAAGAATTAATGATAAGTGATTGTTGATCAAGCTGTAAATACCATGCAAACTAGGCATGATTTCGAAGCTTTGATATTAAAGTTTGGTTTTAGTTTTGATATATTGAAAGAAAATGATTTTGAAAAAATTAATTCACAGCCTTCGTTGAAATGTTTATACTACTATTGTTTCCATTAAATGAAATTTTAATACGACATCACCAACAAATTCTTCTCCTTAAATTCAGTACATGGAAATCAAAATTCCAAAAAAAAATGAAGTGACCATTTTCGAATAAACGATTTTAGTATGATTATTTGTATGAACTAATCTTTTTCATATATATTGTGACGAAACTTTATAGATCCTGTTCGAAACAATTCTTAGTGTCACTTTTCCATTCTGAACGTATTCTTTTTAAGAATATATATGAAGTAAATATGTGAACTTTCATTTCAGTTCTAATAATCATTTAGTCACATACATATCTTATTAAAGATAAAAAATAACAGTATGTACCAATGTTCTATCCAGCGTGAGTCGTACTCCTGAGCAGATCGATGGCGTTCTCTCTAGAATTTGTGATTATTGTGCTTTATACTATGCATTTACCTTTCATAGAATAGGTCTTCGGCTTCCGTTCTCTCGCAAAAGTATCTAAATAAAATACTAATATATATACTCCCAGTCTTTAATAAGTGAGCACTTGTTAATGCATGATTTGATGAAAAAAAAACTCCAATATATAATACAGTTTAAGGGAAGCTCTACAAAACTTTGTTTGAGCAAAGTTTCTGTGCCTTTCACTACTCTTGGCGCCAAAGCATAATCCACTTCGAGATTGTTTTGAATACCTCAAAAACAACAAAAGCTATGAATCTGCGATTTTCACCATTGAAAAAAAGAAATGTGGGGGAAATAAACGGTGCCAATTCATTTTTACTTCAGAATTTGACTAAACGTTTTCGATAAAAAATTCTCAGTTAACTATATGGTTCCATTTAGCCGATCGATAGTGAAGATATTTGTATGTCACTTTATGCAAGTCTGACCCTTTTAGCTTATTTCATTCAGGAGTTCTAAGTATTTTACCCGAAGCATTGAAGTCAGCCAACTAATCACTGGTTAATCTGAATTGTATTGAGTTTGAGATATTCGACTAAACTCAGTCACACGGCGATGTTTAATTTTAGCTTTGAAGTGATCTGGTGTCGGAGGAGCAAGATCTAGAAAGTATCATTGCTATCGTTAAAAGTCATGTATAAACTGAGCGACAAAAATTGTAATCTAGCAAGTGACGATCATAGGGAAACTAAAAATAAACGTCACCATTCGACTCAGCTTATTCTTATTCGAATATCTCAAAGAGATTAAAGTTTACAATTACGACTATGTCAAGTGAATAAAGGGGAAATGGTCATTAATGTCCATATTAATTTATCCATAAGCTATTTTGAGAATTTAGTTATAACGAATTCCTATGTTGTCGTAGTTCTGAACTGACTTAAAAAGTCTTCATAGTTTCTATTTTCTACATATTACGCCAACCAACATGTCCATGTCTTCCGGTGGTAGTTACGTCCTCGATTCAGTGCTCAATCAAGTATTGCAATATACGAGAAATTAAGGACAGGATTTTCTAAAGGTCCTCCAAGTAAACCATAACTATATGGTATGTGAAAATTGACAAACTTCTACGTTCGTGCAGTTTTGAAATCTCTATTGATTGATGTTTCACCCAGTTTTCTATAATCTAACTGAGTTGAACTATTTTAAATTAAAAAAAAGCAAGTGAAATTTTCTAAATTGGAAATCAAATTTAAAAATTTGTTTGGTGTTGAAGGCTTGAATTTTTTTTAAATGATTGTTTTTCGATGGTGAATTCGAATCTTATATTCAAAAACTTTTTTTTTCTAACGCTCAGTTTTCTTAAAACTCATTTTTAAACGGCACATATCGCTAAAAAATGACAGTTTTCGAGAAAACCAACTTCTGAATGTTTTGGAAAAAAAAAATTCTGGATACAAAAACAAAGAGCACGTTGAGAAAGCCTAATGAAGCAAATGACAGGATGGTATGTTCAGCAAGTCTCAGGATAGGTTTCTCATGTAACACACCTATTAAGTTAAGTTCTTTTCTATTATAGTTAGATTGGGGCGAATACAAAATAGGTAAGTTTTATTATATACAGTCAGTTATATTAATTTTTCTTTTATAAATTGAGTCAAATATAAAAATCATGGGGTGAGTTTGGTTTTATTTTATAAAATAAATCTATTTATTTTTGTATTATGGATTGATTGAAATCTAACATTTCTGAATAGATTTGTTTTTACACTAAATTATTGACTGGGTAGATCAATAAAAAAAGGTTTAGTGAGACTCATTATGTACGAAACCTTTTGTTTCAATTTGTAATAAAGGTTCAGCACAAAAGTATCTGTACGGAACATTTTTTTTTCTGTGTCTTTTATAAGTTTAGTACGGAAACTTATATTCAGATCGGTGAGTATATGTATACAGAAATAAATTGAGATAGGCTCAGTATTATTGCATTCGACTCCATACGAAACCTAGTTTTTATGAAACGTAAAACAGGATTCAATTTCGTTTGAAAATTTCGAAACCGTTTAAAGTTCGGTATGATAGCTTTTTTTGAATGTAGTGCAACACATATACCACTAATCCTAATTGCAAATTCTTCCTTATACAGAATTTTCAAATAATTTTTTTTACATACTTTGCTTGCACATATCGGTGTATCGAAAGTGACAATCACTCATCACACGCGGCTCACATCAGTAGAAAAGACACACATGATTGCTTCGTCGGTGAGTTTTTTTATGCTTCCTTCTCGCAAGATTTTTTTCGTTCTTTGATGTATATGTGATAGAGGCAGAAAAAAAATTCGACAAACATGCTAGTGAAGCAAATTTTTTTTACATCATGGTGCAAGTATTTTTTGATGCGGTATTTTTGTTTTGAAGGATGATGGGCAATAACAAATGATTGAGACGTAAACTCTACTGGCAATCTCTGACAAATCATTTGGCAATGATGATGAAGTAAACAATAAAAGATGATTATCTAGAACGTATGATAAAATTAACAACTACATTCGAGAAGATTGCAATTCAATTTATTGCTCTCTTTGTATTTTTTCTGATTGGCGTCGATATTTGCGCCATAAGGATGATGATGCTGAGCATAAAAAACTTAATGACGATACTAAACAAATAAAAGTATAGTCTACATCTTTGACGTGAGGCTGGGTCAAGAACTTCACTTAGTTTTGAAAACTATTTAGCATTGAGTCTTATATCTTCGGGATTAGTTATATGATGTGTTTGATGAATTCTGCTCGAACCTCAAACAGATTATTACAAAACAAATATAGAAGGGATCGAAGTTATAGAGCGATCCAAAATGTAAAAGCTATAAGATATATTAACTGATACAGTGGCCACAGGCAAACAGAGCATCAAAAATAGTATGCATGCGCGAAAGGGCGAACACACGCAATAGCAAACACACTAAGCAACTTTCGTGCTATGAGTACCACGGAAGGACAAACAAATTCGAAAGCATAAACTTATCGCATCACACTTGATTTGGTACCCAAAGACTATGCAGCGCAACCAGCCACATTAAGACATCTCACATCTGGTCTATCATCCATACCTTCATAAGTCCTATCAAATATACCTACTACAATAGCAGCACACACACAGATTTAAGCAAAATAGTCAAAAACTACGAATCAACTTCATTTGTTTCAGAAAACTTTTAGTGACGGTGCGTATGTCCGATGTGAGTTAGCTGAAAAAAAGCATGTCGATACCGCTTCTATGGTGTACATTCGCATATAGATACCGCTATATGCTTCACTCATATTCATCTTCGCTGACCAAGGTTTTTCACCTAAAGATATTTGAGAAGTCAATCATCAAGCGATACGACCACGCGAAACAGCAATTCATCATTTCTGAGATGGACGCCTGTAAATGAAGAATTATAAAACAGCGAACTCTAAGAAGAACGATTTATTCATTCAACCGACCCCAACCAAAACCGACACTAATAGCCCATACCTTGATATTCTTGTAACCGTGAGATGACTTTCACAACCAAACTCAGCCTAGCCCCAAAACATATCGACTACGTCTCTATATACTTTTCATATTAAAATGAATTTCCTGACGAGTTGTGGGTGTAAGTTTTATTGTAGGGAAGAGTTATATATAACCTGACGCCTACAACTGCACCCAACGGCACACTCAACGACACACACTCTTCTTGTTATAACTAATGCGGCTCAATATGGATAACCATTATATAGATATGTTTCATTTAGTGAATGAAAATATATAATTATCCGATAGAATATTTTGATAAATTTACTTGTGTTGCGCTCTCTGCACTGCAAAATTATTTTGGGTGCAAAAAGAATATGACAAACCTGAAATACAGCATGTATATAGATACTTCTTGTATAATAGGGCATTATAGCAGACTGCATCTATTTATTAAACTATACAATTTGATGGAATCTGATATTCCAAATATCGAATAGATTTGTTGAATATCATGGAATATTTGACATGAGACAAACAGTTTATTCGAGAGATGAATTATGTTTCATTGAATCTGATGCTGGTAGATTTACTCGATTTGAAAATTATCAAGCATTTAAAATATTTAATCTAGTTAATTATGCTGCTAATTTGACTCAATCAATGTGAGTTATTCATGAGTCTTATGATTATTGTGTACCAGATAATCAAAGTAACGTTACTACAGTCTTTTGGCCTCAAGTTCAAGT